GTCATTGCTTTTCCTTATATGTAAATTGTAAATCTTAAAAAATCTTCTTTAAAAAAACGAAAGAGCAAGAGTTTAAATATTTGGCATGAAACATTGCCTGATGAGTGTCTACCAACTTTGTTCAAATAAATACCCTGGTGTCAAAATTGGCCCAGCACCGGGGGATCATTGATTTTCCTTATAGGTATACAGTCGAAACTGTCTTAAGCAGCCAGCCAAGGGATGCAGTCATTTTGGCTGCTTAAGACAGGTGGCTGCTGAATGGAGGATCCAGTTTTTATCCAAATAAATTATTCATTTCTTTGTAAAATAAATCTGATTTAAGTATAAATAAACCAGTCTGATTCATCATCATCATCATCATCAGTTTTTAACCATTTACAAATGTATGCTTTTAATGGTTTAACATGTACACAATCCTTCCAACATATAAAGCTTTACATGAATGTAACACAGATAAACAAATGCACTCACGATTTATTATGTCAATAATTGAAACTATTTATCCCATAAAAATTTCTTCTTGCACAATAATTTAAAATGCGTAATCTTTTTTCCACAAAAAAAGTATGACAGTTTCTTTTTCTAACTTTTGATCAATAGAATATTGTGTACACGTCATCTAAGTGTCGGCACTTCCTTTGATGTTTCGGATTGTAACAGCAGGGCTACAGGTTTGTAAACATCAAAGATTCCTTTGAAGAGACCGCTAGTTATCTCTTAGAGGTCATCTAGTGTGTAAACTTAATGGGTGTGATTTAACAGTGACCTCATTATATTTATGCAATTTTATTTTCACACATGGAGCAAGTGTTTTTATGAATTTATTACTGAGGAATTTAGACAATAGGCGATGTAATTCATTTTCATTTCTTTGGTAAGTACCATGTACGCACAAAATTTATCTGAATCGGGATAAACTGAAATTTCTTTTTGCCATCGACAATGCATTTTCTTCTTCTTTCTTTTTTTCTTAAAATCGGTAAATTGAAAAATAAAAAACTAGCGTACAGTAACTCAAAAGAACGAATTGCAAGTGCGTTTAGACGTTCCAAACGTTTGTAATTACGACACGGATGAGCAATTATGCAAACTTCTTGAAATGTTGTGGTTTGTGTTAATATCTAGCAAGTAGCTTTTGTTAATCCGTGACACGTGTCATCTTTAAAAATAAATGGCAGAAGATTGCATGGCCGTTTCACCTGGCTGACCGCAGAAGATTGCCTGGCCGTTTCACCTGGCTGACCGCTTAAGATGACCGACTTTAAGATTCGGGAAGCATTTTAGGTGACCGTTGACCGCGGACAGCAGGTGACCGTTGAACAGATGTATAAAATAGAGTGCTTTTCGTCGGGAGCGTCACAAAATGGCCGTTAAGGTCAGGTGACCGCCGATAAGAGGTGACCGTTTGTACAGTTTCGACTGTATAGTAAATAAATTTTTCTAAAAAATATTTGGTATGTAACATTTTCTAGTGAGTGTTTGTTCAATTTTAAGCCCTGGGGTCAAAATAAGCCCCTTTCAAGGGCTAATTTATTTTCCTTATATGTATATAGAAAACTTAAAAAAAAACTTCTTAAAAAAAACAAAGAGTTAGAGCTAAGATATAAAGCACGAAATATCCTCTGGTGAGTGTCTACCAAGTTTGTTCAAATATAAATCCTGGGATCAAAATTGACCCCGCCCCGGAGGTACTTGTTTTCCATGTATGTCTTTACTAAAAACTTCAAAAATCTTCTTGTAAACGACCCAAAGAGCTAGAGATTAGATCTTAAGCATTAAAAAATCCTTAGTGAGTGTCTACCAAATTTGTTCAAATAAAAGCCCCAGGGTTAAATTGGCCCTGCCCCAGGGGTCTGATTTTCCTTATATGTCTATAGTAAAAAAAAATTTAAAAATCTTTTAAAAACCCAAAAGAGCTAGAGCTTACATATTTATCATGAAACATCTTCTAATGAAAGTCTACCAAATTGGTTAAAAAGGCCCCTGGGTTAAAATTAGCCCCGCCCTAAGGGCCTATATAAAAGTAAACGATTTCAGGGCCATCATGGCCCTCTTGTTTATGTATCTTTACATTTTTGTTGTCTTTCTTTAATTGAAAATATTCGAAAAAATCTTATCATTGTGTCATTCCATTGTTGTATGACTTTCTAAGCCCCGTAAGATGGTAAGACTACGATCGAACATCCCAAATGTCCGTCCATTTCATTATCGAAACAATTTTTTCATTTGAGGAAGACAATTGGCACATCAAGACAACGTGTGGCATGAAGAATACACACCCTAAGCTTAAAGTTAATATCTTAGAAGCTATGTAATACTCTATATATGCATATATATTTGTGTCGGAATGCATTGATTGATTTCAAACAACTTGGCACTAATGGTCAACACATCATGACAATGTGTCGTATAAATTAACTGTCCACAAGGATAAACGTGACACAGAGTTTAAGTAACGGAGTCCTGTTACATCTGAACTCTTTAATGAAATGATTTAAAAATTTCAGAGCACATGGACAGGACTGTGAGAAACAACTAAGGTTGTTGGTGTTCGTGGTACAACTGTTGTTCACTAACGAGTTTTTTCTTTGGCCATTATGGCAAGCCGAGCGTTTACCATTTTGATTAAATTCAGAAACGTTTTTTTGTCTTTGAAATTAAAAAAAAACCGAAGTTATTGGTAAGCCATCACAACCATACAAAACGAAAAAAAACTAAATAAAAATAACTAAATAAAAATAAAGGGTTTGGACTTGATAGCAGGGCCCAAGCCCATGATTCTGAATAAAACTGTTATTGGTTACAGTATACTTGTCAATCAAAGACACTGACTAAACTTATGCTTAAACCAAGGATATATCAAAATAGGGTGATGCCATGTTTAAACACATCTGCGGATGATTTTAAATTCATTCAAAATTTTTATCATTTCATGTTTAAATGTTGAATTCTGCTTAAGCCGGTGCTAGGGGGCGTGGACGGTAACTTGCACTTTCCAGTACCGTCCATGAACAGGCTCAATCAAACCGAGCCTGCAACATTTTCAATTTTGACGTGTTGGGCTTTCTTTAGGGATTCTGTATTTATCTATTTTGACAACATGCCCATTTTGTATTATATCCGAAAATTTATTTGGGAAAACTATTTCTGTTATGTAGAGAATTTCGGTGTGTGGTTTGGGTTTCGCGGGAATAGCCAAATCAGTCCTTGCTCAAAGACGAGTGTATCTATGTTGGAGAATACATTTATCAAGATTTATATTGGTATATGCATATTCATTATATTTATACCGAAAAAATATTTTCTTTTTTTTTTCAGGGTAAATCACGCTAAGTTCGAATTTCCAACTACATTCATGCGAATAACCAAATAGTAAGTATCCTGTTCAAATTAACGTAAAAGGGTGTAACCATATTAGAGAAAAGACATATCTCTTAATATAACTGTAAAATTTGTTACAAAAACACTAATTGTTTTTAGGCGAATATATGAAATATTCGAATCAACAACTACCTTCTGGTAGGTGGTTGCGTTTCGAGCGAACAACAAACTGAGTCTCCTAGTCGACGTAGCGAGACATGGGACACCATTTGGTAGAATTAATATTGTGATATATCTGTTATGTTTAGTCTGAAGAGAAATACATGTAATGCTCCATTAACAAACTACCTTCCAGTTGGTAGTTGTGGATTCACGGGAATATCCAACTGAGTTCCGAATAATGGTGAAAGGGTTGTAACCATATTATTGAAAACACATATCTTGTTACTTAACAGTAAAATTTGTTTCAGAAAAATACTGTTTTTTTTCAGAGGAATATATGAAATATCCGAATTACCAGCTACCATCCAGTAAGTAGTTGGGTATTCGCGCGAATAACCACCGGAGTCCCTTGGTGGTAATAGGGTGACAGGGTGTTTCAATATAGAAGAACACATTCATTTTGCTATATATCTGTTATATTTATTCAGGAAAGAATCTTTTTTCCAGGTTTAAACATATTAAGTTCAAATTACCAACTACTTGCTGGTAGGTAGTTAGGGATTCATGCGAATTACCAGCTGTGTCCCCTGGTGGACATAGCGAGACTAGATGTTTTGATGTTGAAGAACACATCCATCTTGCAATATAAATCTATATTATATTTTCCAGAAAAAACTTTCTTTTTGAAGGGGAAAACAATGTCAGTTCGAAAAACCAATTACCTTCTGGTAGGTATTTAGGGATTCGCGCGAATCACCAACAAGGTCACTCCTTTAATCTGTGTTAAAACTTTACAAATGTAATATTTGTTATACTGTTAATAGTGGATCTAATTTCGAGATACCAGCTATTGAATGGTAGGGAATCACGAATAAGTAACAGCTAGTAGGTAGTTAGAAGTTTGAATATCCAACTACTTACCAAATTGACGATCATTCTATTTTGGAAGTGCCCATTATCAATTTTGGTGATATCAAGCTAAAGTCTTTTATGTAAACCGAAATTATAGAGTCTTATCAAACTGCACGAACGTGATACAGTTTTTTCTGTCGAGTCGGGTACAAGCAATAAATGTCGAGACCTATGTCAATATATGTATATTATTAGTTATAAAGAATTTTAACAGGTAATATGAGCTATATAAACGGTTATTTAGAAATATAACCTGAGTCGAAATTCGAGGTTCATATTGCAACCGTTTATATACAGCCATATAACCTGTCAAAGTATTTACAACACATTTATAATACAGCAAGACTCATTCTTTTACAGATTCCATCATAAATTGGCAGTATCCTTGTAAATAAAACCATGTAAACATCACAATTATCCAATTAGAAGCGACAATAAAAACGTGCAGTATTATAAAATACATGTGAACCAATTCAAAAACACAGAGAAAGAAAATGATAAACTTAATCAGTTCTCAATTTATAAAGAATACTCAGTACCTACCCAGAAGAAATACTCCAAATGTACACCACACTTTATTTCGAGCAGAATCAACGGCATACGCTAATACAGGCATATCGCTTGATGCCGGTGTAGGACAGTAACAATGGCGGAGAGTAGCAGGCACGTAACCTACCTGTAATAAATTATTTAACGTATCATTTAAAGAATAAAGCGTTGGCTTCATGTTTATGGAAGCTGCCTCTCAACTGCAAATGATTGTATGTAAGAGCCCTACTACGGCAACGGCGATGTTTCTTAACATACTGCAAGTACTAGTTACTTTCAGGTAGAAACCTCGAATGGTTATCAAAATAAGTTGTTAAGTTTTCGCCTCAATCGAGCTAAACCAAATTCATGAGGGTAACCTTAACGGGGATAGAAATAAAACTATCCTTAAATATTTGGACTTACCAGCTTATGTAAGATTTAATATATCTAGAAATCAACACGAAACACAAAGGTCTGTTCTTGGCTCTAAAATTGCTGCATGTAATTTATTGTACTGATACTGAAACCAAACATGCCCACGGCCAAAATGTCAAGCACGCTCATCTTAATTCAAATCTGAATCTATAAGCTTAAGATCAAGGAGAAATATGTATATATAGGTAAGATATGCGCAACACATGCTCTTTATAACTAATGCAACATCTTGACATTGCATCATCTAAGGTGACCTTGACCTCAGCCCCGATGGCCTAGTTAAGGTACATGACAGTACAAGAAGTGTCATGATGAAAATTTGTGCCGACAAAAATCAATTCATATTATGTGAAAAATCCTCAAAACACGAAGAATTTATGGCATGGAAAAGTGTGTACGTACGCACACAAACAGACACTGAACAGAAATTTTTACAACTACGTATGTCGAAGTTGACGCAAGCAGAAAATCCTCTGGCCACTTAACATAATACTTTAAGTCATAAGCAAGATACAGTATGGACAAATAAATCTTAATATTTTTATTTGAACTCTGATCTAGTGTCAGCTGGACCTTCACTTTGCGCAAGAAAATTCAACACAGAGTTTATTTGTTCTAAGTTATATTAAACTCCATCCATGTATATAGAAATTATACTCACACATGAATGTCTTACATTGTTATTTGACATTAGACTCTGAGTGCTGAAGTAAAACCATGACCTTTGCCACAAACATCAAATTTTTTCATCTGAATTTTGTGTGCGACAAACCACTTCATCATTGTGAACATTTGTGATAAATTATTTTGTAATCCTTCATAGAATAAGAAAGATAAAGACCGGACAAATCTGGACTCATGGACAGACGGACGCACATACAAAATGTTGGTACTGGTATAGCTGAGTGATTAACGCGTCGCAGTAGCATTTAAATCCATTTGGGCTGAAATCCCGCCAGTGGCGAGCCGATGTGTCTTTAAGCAGGAAACATTACATTTGTTGCAAAGTATTGGTTCATTATAGAAACTGAATAGAGAGCATAGCTTGCCACACAATTAAAAATATTAACAAATATTCAATATAAGCTAAAGCTTATATCAAATTTAACCTGCCAGTTAAATGTTAATTAATTTCAGATTAACTGGAAAAAAAACAAATAAAAAACACACACACAAAAACAATAACATTGATATAACAACATATTAAGGTCGCTGACATCATTTCGGAATCGCAAGACAGACTTTAAAATACTTTCATGTGACAAAACTAGGTTACGCAACGCTCGTGGTTCTACTCAGATGTCCGCTCGTGCCTGAAATAATGCACGGATGGACAACCTGAAGTCTTTCTCCACCATTAATTATGGTAATTTGCCAAATAACATCTACTGTGGTAATGTGATGCAAAATCAAACCAAAAAGCATTAGGATAAACATTAAGATACTAAGGTTTACGAACCTCTAACTTGTTGCCATCACCATCATATGCTACTATTGAGGTTAAGTTCTCAGTTAACACCACACTATTTTCGGATTTAGATGTACTCAAGAATAAGCCATGTTCAGGACAATTCATAATTTTTGGTAATTTACCTAGTATAAAACAGAGAAAAAAAGCTTGAATTGGTTTTTATCATAAAACATGTTTCCGACAATTAAGTATGGTACTGATCACTCCTGTATATTTTTTTTGAAATCCTGCCAGTAGTTTGACCTATTAAATATGCACAGGATTTTTCGTTTATAGCTCTCGCGGTCATTTTGTGTATCGAAGCGGAACATGCAACTAATATGCAACAGAAAGGAATGTTGTGTTGAATGTCTAGCCAGCTTCACATCCCAGCTCGACATTTACAATGAGGGACAAAAACGAATATCGAACTGAATGTTTGCTGAATGTCTAGCCAGATTAACAACCCAGCTCAACATTCACAATGAGGAACAAAACACTAATATCGAGTTGAATGTTTTGCTGAATATCTAGCCAGCTTTTTAATCCAGCTCGATATTCAAAAAAGAACCAAAAACACCGTATGTCGAGCTGAATGTTTGTTGAATATCTAGCTAGCTTCACATCTCAATTTGACAGTCAAACAGAGACAAAAATCCGACTGTCAAATTAAATGGTTGCTAAATGTCTAGCCGACTTCACAACCCATTCAGAAAAGAAACAAAAAGCCGAATGTCGAGCTGAAAGTTAAATGTCTATCCAGCTTCACATTACAGCTCGACGTTCAAAAAGAGACAAAAATCGATTATTAAGCTGAAAGTTTGCTGAATGTTTTGCCAGCTTCACAAGCTAGCTAGGCTCAACGTTCAGAAATGAGAGAAAGAAAACGATTGTTGTGCCGAATGTTTGCTGGATGTCTAGTTAGCTTCACAACCCAGTTCGACATAAAAAAAACGAATGTCGAACTGAATGTTGTGCTAAATGTCTAGACAGATTCACATCTCAGCTTAGCATTCAAAAGAGACAAAAATCAAATTTCGAGCTAGCTGAATGGATAGCAAGCTTCACATCCGATCTTGACATTGAAAACAGAGGCAGAAAACGAATGTTGAAAGTTGTGCTTAATGCTTAGCAGGCTTCAAATCTAAAATATACATTCATGTGAGACAAAAAAAAACAAATATCGAGCTGAATGTTTGCTGAATGTCTAGCCAGACTCACATTTAAGTTCGACATTCAAAGAAAAACTTAAACCGATATCGAGCTGAATGTTTGCTGAATATCATGCAAGCTTCGCATCACAGCTCAACGTTCAAAAACATACAATATACGAACTTGGCGCTGAATGTTTTGCTGAAAGTTAAGCCAGTTTCACATCCAAGCTTGACATACAAAAAGAAACAAAAAAGTGACTGTCGAGCTGAATATTTTGCTGAATGTCTAGCCAGCTTCACATTCAGGCTCGATATTCAAAATGAAACACAAAAAAAGCTGTTGAGCTGAAATTTTGTGTTCACTGTTTAGCCAGCTTCAAATTCTAGCTCATCGTTCAAAAAGGAAACAGAAAAAACGAATATCGGACTGAATGTTGCGCTGAATGTCTAGTCATATTTACATCCCATGTTGACATTCAAACAAGACACAGAAAACTAAACTGTTGTGCTGAATCTTTGATGAATGTCTAGCCAGATTCACATTCCCACCTCGGCATTCAAACGGAGACAACATGAATATGGAGCTAAATGGTTTTCGCAATGTCTAGCCAGCTTCACATTCCAACTCGTCTTTCAAGAAAGAGACAAACGAATGTCGATGTGAATGTTGCAAGCTTAACATCCCAGCTCGACAGTGATAAATCGAATGTCCAGATGAATGTTTAATATCGATCTCTGTGCCAACTTTGTGGACTTGAAATATACTGTATGTGCAGATATATTTGCAGATTTTAACTTTTCGCGATCTTCGTAGTGACATTTGATCTGCGAATTCATGTTTAACGCGACTATTTTTACACCAATAATTTCCAAATACAGTAAACTCCGCTTATAACGAACTCATTGGGACATTCAAAATCTGTTCCTTGTATCAGGAGTTTCTTGTAAGAATATAGCGAATTTAAGTTCCTTGTATCAGGAGTTTTTATAGCGAACATATTTACTTATAACGAACTGATTGTCAAACATCGTCCGCCATTTTGAAGAGCATTTGATTAAGAAAAATTAGTCATTTACTTCTTTTTAGACACAATACCCGAGAGCGTACATTTTGGAATTTGAAAATCCTTTGCTATTTCAGTTTTAGTATTTTTAACTCAGTGCTTTTCGTTTTCTTTCCATGAATAAGAATAAACAAGATTTTCCATTTTTTCTTCCTTTTATATTGAGTATCTTCTATTATATTTTAAACGTGACTTTTACTAATGAAATATATAGATTTCTTTTCATTTCAATCAAGCATACTTTGTAGTTTTCTATGGATTATGTTTGCAAGCATGCGTGATTATGTTGAAAACCGATTATAAGTAATCATAATTATTTTACTCGAGCAAAACTATTAAAGAAAAGAAATAATAGAATAAAAAGAATAACCGTCAAGAACTCATGCTAAAAATATCCTAAATAGAAAACTATTACATACTTCTATATCAATTCATTTTCATAGATACATTGAATTAAATACAACAATAAACGGTACATTCAGCCAGTTTTAATCCGTGCAAATGGAAACGAAAGTTGAAAATGCGGGATATATTTACGAATAGCCGATATTTGGAGTTTGTTATAAAAGTGTAATTTTCCGCACTTTTAACTAAATTGGGACAAAAAAATGAGTTCCTTATAAGCGATAATTCCTTATAACCGTGTTTGCTATAACCGTATATTTTTATATTTAATAAAGAAGGGCAAAATTTGGGCCAAAATAAATTGTTCCTTATAACCGGAAGTTCGCTATAATCATGTTCGCTATAAGTGAAATTTACTGTAGTCATATTTTCGCGCTTCTATATAACAATGTATCGTATTTCAGTGTGTTATATGCTTTCAATACATACAATTTTATCAAAATGTTTACTGAGAAATTGTATTTTGTTTTCTATGTTTTTCATCAGTTAAAATTTTCAATTATGGGGTGTTATGAGATGTAACGGTTGTTTTGATTGGCCAAAAATATGAACGAAAAACAAAAATAAAAATATACGAAAAACTTAAATAAAAATATGTATCCAAAATTAAAAAATATTTATGCAAAATTAATAAAAAATATGTAGGAAAAACTGAAACAAAATATGTGTGAAAACTAAAATAAAGTATGAATGCAAGATTGAGGGTTCGGTAAAACTTGTCTTATTTTGGATGAGAAAACTATGGAATGCTAGTTATGAGCGTAAAATCAACAACAAAAGAAAACAAAAACTAAAACCTGATCAGACTGCATGAATATGTGTTTCTTTAGCTTGTCTATAAAGATAAATGATGCCAATTTGAAGATGTTAGTTTTTATCCTTGTTAGTACACTCTGTCACGCAGCCTGTAACTGATGGAAAGCTACTTACGTCTGGTGACGGTCAGAGTAAATCTGCAGCTTGCATTGTTAAAATCATAATCCCAAATATTATAGTAAACGATATGTTTTCCAATGGAGAATATGGCACTATTATTGTAGTTCGAGTCAACCGCTGCAATAGCGACGTTATCTTCAAATGCTGGTTGCCGCCAATACATTGTTTCACTTTCATTAAATTCCATGTCTTCGGGACACTGCATGATAACTGGCGCCTGTTTATCTGAATTTAAAATAAATCCCATGAATCTACTTCGGAATTCATGGTAAAATTTCGATAAAAATTGTGATAACCTATGGCAAAATTCAAATGAAAATTATCATTTCCCAAGGACAATGCCATATTACTTGCATTTTCATAGAGGAAAACCCAAAAGGACAATAATAAGTCCCACAGTACATACCATTAGGATCATGTTATATACCATGGTAAAATTCCAGAGAACATAAGTCCTACAGTAAAAACCCAATAAAACAATGCCATATCCTATGGTAGCATCAAAAAGGACAATATCTAATCCCATTGTAGCATTCAATTGGACACTATCATGGCCAATGGTCCAAATGGTAAAATCTGATAAAATGTCCCTTGGTAAAATCCACTTGGACTATATCATATCAAATTAAGATTCCAAATGTAAAACTAAGAATATCATGTACCAATCGATTGCAAATCTATAATATAAAGTCCCGATGGCCATAAAGACTATATACCAGGATAAATACCAATAGCAAGTATATTTTTCAATAGTAAAATTCAACAAGAAACCGCGATATTTTGCCTTTATTATAATTATTATGCTTATTTAAAAGACCTACGTATTTTCAAAAACAGCTGAATAACGTACCCCGTCTCTTCAACATATTACGGTAGGCAATATTTACTGCTATGAAATAGGATCAATATTTATCAGACAGTACAGTTGCAGACAATGGTTCATAATTTACGAAATCAGAGTATTTCTCTTTAAGATACTTAAAATACTTTAAGACCTAAAAATACATAAAACATAATCATTTGAAACTTCACAAATCTGACATTACGATTCAGTAAGAAAATGGCGGTAAAATTCGTACCGGAAACGGTTACATTAAATTCGCATGTTTCCTTGACTCCCACATCATCAACGGCCCATGCAATAACAGTTGTTTCCGTTGTATAGGGATGAAAACAGTGGCAATGACGTACCGTTGCAGGTTCGTAGTTAACCTGTTTTTAAAAAAGTATAACCGTTACGGTTTGTTCTCATATAATATATATTAAATCATATCTAACCTTATATCATATCATAGTATCATATATCAAAATGTGATAATTCCAGTGAAATTTTAGAGGAATGAGCGATTAACTCAAAATTTTTCATATACTATATCAAATATTGACTATTTGCCAAAGTCCGGGCACCCCTGTGATCTTTGGATTATTGCAACAGTGCATCCAGAGTTGCGTCCCGTGTGTGCCGTATCTGTTATGTTTGCCGGAAAGAGAGTTTCACCTCAGTTTACAGAACTATGTAAAAGTGTGGAATTATTTGTGACGATGTAAACGACCATTTATTGAACTTTCACCAAGTCAGTAATTCATGTTTTGATCTTTTTTCTTTTCCTTTTTTACTTGCGCATTGTTTCATAAATGCTTATTGTAAACGTAATAATAAATATCTCTCCGTTTAAAGTGAAATACGAGTCATTTTTCATTGTCGCGCCTATAGTTTAACGCTTACATTAAGCGCGTCTTTACACTATATTGGTATAACGCTAATGACGTCACGTCAAACTATATGCACAGCCGTGCAATACCATGTTTACGGAGTCGCAAAATCGGCACGGGTGTGTGATAATTGCCGATCTTAAATCATATAATTTTCCTATATCATAATATCATTCCATATCTCATCTTATAAACGTATCATATCATATCATAATTTTATATCACATCGTTGTATTATTGCAATAACAAATAATTTCTGACAGAAATAAAATCTGACTTAGAAAACTGGAACAAGTACACATGTTTTTGTTTTTCTTTATTTGTTTTAATGGCTACCTTACAATAAATTGGGCTGATTATGTGTACAACACAGTACTTTACCATCATTATACATGATAATTTTATCACAGGGAACTTATAAATATCCGATGTGTGATTATTATGTACCCTGATCAATTTTTAAACCATTTCCAGCTTATTTTGTAAAATGATTTTGATATTGAATAGTTCATATAAGCTTTAAATATCAAATAGTCACGAAAGTCTAATTCGGCCAAACTGCCCGGATGTGCCGGCTAGCCTAACTCTATACTGATAGAATAGGAGCTAGTATTCAAAAAACTTCAACAACACATTAAATCTATATAAGATCCTTTGCCATTGTATCAATTGTAGTTTATTTTAAGTAATAAACTTACATTTATATTCTATGGAGAGTTAATTGAAGTGCAATTTGAAAATTTGCATCTGTCTGTAACAAGATATGGAGCTAACCTTTAGTTTCTTTCCATCGTTATCGTAAGCTTGGATAGCAGTAGTCTCTTCACTCATTTTGGCCTCATCTTTTTTGAGAGCTGTATCCAAGGACAAAACTTTTATGGGACAGTTCAATATATTCGGAGGCTTTAGCGTTTCTATCAAAACAAAATATATCACAAAAAAATAAATTAAATTTGAGTCGTTGCCTTTAGATGATATATAACCAAATGACGATAAATTTATTATACATGATGATGATGACGGCGACGATAACAGTGATGTTGACAACGACAATGATCACTATGATTATGAAAATAAAAAGCTGCTGCCGATGACAATGGGTAAATTCTTACCTTTAGTGACAGTAATATTAAACTTGCATACGGCGGTGTTATGCTGGAAGTCCCATACTTTATAATAAACAGTATGGTTGCCCGCAGGTGGTACCTGACCGCTCTCATAACCCAGACGGGACATGTCCAATACTCCTACGTTATCATAATAAGTAGGTTCTTGCCAAGTAACCTTCTCGTTTTCAGATGCATAAATATGGCTTGGACAAGAGGTAAAAACAGGTTTGTAAATATCTGAAAAAAAAGAAAAGTAAATGCCCGAATGTTTTAAATTGCATTGTCATGTGGCGCCTTTCCAGCTTTTCTAGTGCGGGAAAACTCTCAGATGGTCATATGTTTATTCTTCAAGACACAAGTGGGCACATGAAAGGACCCACTGACCTTCCCGTGGCGATATAGAAAGCTTCATCTCATGAAAGAATTCATAGTTCCTGTCGAGATTCGAGCTTATCTACAAATTGATGCTGCATGTCAAGTATCTGAGCTCTTAACTTTAAATAATTAAAGTATTACCATTGTCGTTTCACAAAAAGACGAATAAAATGTGTTTTTTCTAATACAAGACTGTATATCTTACTAAGTGAACCTAGTGGCGGGGCCAATTTAATTCCAAAGGGCACGACCAATTACAATTTTGTAGAGGCAAACAAGGCAATGTTACATGCCAATTATCTAAACCCTAAGCATTGTAGTTCTACAAAATATCTTAAATATGTTTTCATATTCTAAACTTTTTTAGTTTTACTATTGATTAAGAGACCCCTGGGGCGGGGCCAATAATGACCCAAGGGCATGATTCACACCAGTTATATGGCGTTGAGTTTTCAAACAATAAGTCTCAATTTATTTTCCTATATAAGTATCCATAAATCAAGTGACTCCTGGGGCGGGCCAAATATTGAACTAAGAGGCATAGTTTTGTAAAGAAAAATAAGGCAATGCTACATGCTAAATATCTATCTGGGCTAATTTTGATATCAGGTAGCCCAAACCTGTGTTCTGCACGTTGTCTTATTAAAAGAAATATTTGTGACAAAAGGTTTAATTTCTTTCTATCGGTTAAAACGTTGAAGTGGGGACACGATATTGAAATTCATACGAACATACTAAGTGTGACCTTAACCTTGAACTGCAAATTGTCTTTGTACACATAGTTTTATTATGATACGATTTGTTTTAGAATCATCCCGAGATGTCGCCCAAGCCACTGTTATACCCCCGTAACCTACGAGTTTCATACATTGTAACTGTTTTATTGCAATTTCATTTTTTTAACAGAAATCAGTAAAAAAAAAACAGATTTCCCTCTCTTGTGCTTTTTCACTTATGTTTTAGATGGAAACTCCAGATAAATGTCCCAATACCAGGTTATGCTGTCTAAGGGCCCTCACACCTAGCTGTATATAAAAAGTCAGAGAGAGTAGCCGTTTAAAGATTTTTTGCTGTTGCGAAAACACAAAAACAAAAGAAATATAATAATTAACTCTGAAACCACAAGAAGAATCAAAAGTAAACTGTGAAGTTAGATAGATCTCATTAAGTAGAAGTGCAGTACAAAAGAACTGTTAAGCAGCCTTTTCCTATTTTGGAGTTATTGCCCTTTGTTCATTTTTACAATGATCTTTGTCCGGGGCACATCTTTTACTCTGTAAGATATATCAACAAGAAACTTCGTAGGTAGATAGATTTCATTAGGTGAATGTAGAAGAACCGTAACTCTACCTTGCCTTATTTTGGATTTATTGCCCTTTGTTTATTTTTACACTGTGAACTTTGTTCGGGACATAACTCTTAAATTATAAGAGATATCAACAAATAGTACTTTCTCTGTGTCCAAAACCTGTTCGGGTGCATCACCCGCTTCAACCCAAATTTGCCCCCTTTGCCCTTTGCCCCCTTTGAACCTCCGTAAAAACTAAACCGATATATGCCAGGTGTAAGAATAACTCAACTGTTATATATCAATTGAGTTTTTCCCTATATAAATCTACAAGTGACAAAACTGTACTGTAAAATATATCAATACAGTTTTCAAATCCTAAATGGAACTGTACAGACTTTTGTAAATTGAATAAATAAATTGATCAGAGGATCAGCTTCACACTTATGTAAAACATTTGTTTAACGAAATATCTATCTGTACATGATTAACAAAATTATGCCAGTCTTAAAGAATAAATAACTTTAAATTGAAGTTATTATTCAGTATCAAATAAAAAAAATACTAGAAATGTGTCATCATGCCACGGATGCCCCCGCATGCAGCCAAAATTTCAGATGGTGCTTTAATTATTTTTTTCATTTTAAGTTCAAAGCCCTTAAAACTTTTCAATGTTAACACCAACTATTTTCATACAATGTTCAATGCACTGAAATTATTCAGTCTAAACCTTTTAAAAATAGCATATTGCATATTTGTAGCCAAAATAATGGCTACAAGTAAGAGTGCTGAAAATGAAAGTTCAAAATTTTTCCAACATTCAGGAAAGATAAGTTTGTCTTAAATCATTGAACTACAACCAAATTCAAACTTAAACTGCTTATTCCTAAGATGTATCTATATTATTTTCAAAGTGAAAGGGACATAACTCTGCCAAAAAATCATCAAACCATGACCAAATTCCAACTTGACCTGCCCATTCCTTTAACATATCCATATGTCAAATTTAAGTTGAATATGTAACACTGTTGGGTAGATAATGGACAGAAACTGTAAATTTCATATTATTTTCAAAGTGAAAGGGGCATTACTCTGCCAAAAATCATTGAACCATGACCAAACTCGAACTTGGCCTGGGCATTCCAAAAACATATCCATATGTCAAATTTGAGTTGAATGTGTTGTACCATTGGGGAGATAATAAACGGAAACTGAAAATTTCATATTACTTTCAAAGTGAAAGGGGCATAACTCTGCCAAAAATCATTGAACCATGACCAAATTTGAACTTGACCTGCACATTCCTTTGACACATCCATATGTCAAGTTTGAGTTGAATGTGTTGTACCTTTAGGAAGATAATGAACGGAAACTGAAAATTTCACATTATTTTCAAAGTAAAAGGGGCATTACTCTGCCAAAAATCATCGAACCACGACCAAATTCGAACTTGACCTGTATTTTCTCATGACATATCCATATGTCAAGTTTGAGTTGAATATGGTGTACCGTTGGGGAGATAATGAACGAAAACTGAAAATTTCATATTATTTTCAAAGTAAAAGGGGCATAACTCTGCCAAAAATCATCAAACCATGACCAAATTCGAAATTGACCTGTATTTTCTCATGACATATCCATATGTCAAGTTTGAGTTGAATATGTTGTACCGTTGGGGAGATAATGAACGGAAACTGAAATTTCATATTATTTTCAAAGTAAAAGGGGCATAACTCTGCCAAAAATCATCGGACCATGACCAAATTCGAACTTGACCTGTATTTTCTCATGACATATCCATATGTCAAATTTGAGTTGAATGTGTGCAACCGTTCTTAAGATAATGAACGGAAACTGATGATGACGGAATGACAGAAGGACGGAAGGACGGAATGACGGAACAGGGTAACACTATATGCCCCGGGCATTACATGGCGGGGGCATAATAAATATTTTTGAATATTTTTCTATCTTGTCCATAACATTATGACGACAAACGTATCATAAAACCTGTTTTTCACTTCTTTTTAATTGTTTTACTAGTTACCCTTATAGTAGAATATAGACTCGTAAAGAATATTGTTTCGTTACCTTTGACAACGACCTTGAATTGACAGGTGTCCTTGTTGCCATAGCTATCAACGACCTCGGCAAAAATAGTGGTTGTTACCGTGGTAAAGGAAGAACAATTACAATGGTAAACTTTCTCTGGCGAATATTTTACCTGTCAAGTAAATTATATTTCAGTTACCGTTATATTCAAATCATATTGTATAACAAAATGTTCTGCTTTGTTTATATTATAGTTTCAATCATATGCAAAGTATATGCACTTTACATTATAACCGCTTATTTCGCGCCAACCAACAACCACATCGAACTGGTAAGTAAAACGTGAAAAGTAGACGTTTATCTCCCATTAAGGCATGGCGATGCTTGGACCAGAAATTAAATGAAAAGTGCATTATGATTTCATGAACAATATTATTTATTCACAAAGTGCAAAATATTTTGATCATTTAAAAAATGATTTGTTCTTGCTGTCAGTACGTGCCGCAGCTAAAAGCATGCGCTTTGAAACAAAAAGCCCGTCTCACACAGAACACACGCTTATACGGTTTGTCACCCGTTTTAACATACATACAACCGAACCAACCGTTGTGTTAACCGAGTAACACTCGGGCCATTCGAGTGTATCCGTGTACAAGACCGCTTGAGACCGTATGTGATGTCCGCTCCACGTGTGAGCCCAACCGTGTCAAGGTCGTAAATAGATCGTATGGAATCGTTCGAGACCGTCCCCAAGTCCTACATCCAACACCCGATTAACACCCAAATGTCACAAGATATCGGTACGAATCACACGATTGCACATACGATTTCATACGATCGTCATACGACCAATACGGTTCAAGTACGAATCATACATGAAAGAAACGGTTTAGTACGGGTATACACGGTCTCACACCGCCTCGTACGGTCTTACACAGCCTCAACGTAAGGGCGAACTTTACAACGAAAACCACAACTACCTGCTGCCACCCTTAACTACTAGATCTACACAGAGCACTTGCTGCATCACACTAGAATGCATCCAAAGAAGAAGGTTCCGATGCACAGAGAAATACAAGAAGGACCATCCAGGCCCGCCGACTACTCCAACCTGCCGACCAGAGCTGCATCAGTACTAAGGGTGTAGTACTTAAGTACCAGTACCAGTACTTGGCAAATTATGCAGTACCATTACCAGTACCAGTACTAGATTTTAGCTCGGTACTGCAGTACCAGTACTTTTTTTGGTGAAGTAATTAAGTATCAGTACCATTACTTTTATATATTCATCAAAGTTTGAATAAATACAGTGTCAAACAAATAAATGCAAATATTATTCAGAAAAGAAATAAAATCATAATTAACTTTAAAGTTAACATTACATATTTACAACTTTATAGTTTTAACATACTTTTTACAAACAATATTTACAACATATATATATGTCATATCTAATTGTTCAGTAACCAGTCAACTGTATAAATACAATGCAAACATCTTTCATTTAAAACACAATGTTTAGTCTTTTGTTGCCTTTCACACCTTCACACCTCTGTTCAATTTATACCAAAGTAAATAACAACTTTTTATGGTGCTAACAATATCACTTTTATTATTTCACTTGAAATGGGATTATTTAGAATAGAAGAAATTAATTAGTGTTTATTTTGCTCTTTTACTAGTAAATACAAAGTAATAAAAGATTTTAATAAGGATATTTTAGGGTAAAGAGTTATTGAGTCTGTTTATCTTAATTTAATTTTTACTTAAAGTCTTTGGTGCTTTTTGTTAACATTTGAAGGAATATTGCAGCAAATTACCTTTAGATTTGATAACTTACTTTTTCACAAAAATAAAATATAGTAAATGTAATTTACAGCTTTATTTTATGAGAAAAAATGATGCTATTTTTAATTTTTATCAAAACCAAAAGTACTGGGTAATGTAGTAGCAGTACCACTTTTCAAGACAGTAATGCAGTACCAGTACCAGTAGTAGCAAAATTTTGTAAGAGTAATTCAGTATCAGTACCAGTACTTGCAAAATCGCTGCAGTACGTACTGCAGTACCAGTACCAGTACCAGTAATGCAGCTCTGCTGCCGACCCCGATGAGTTGTAGAATCAACCGGCACTTCCAATGTCTCCCACGAATTCAAAATTGGATTGCAGCCCGGTTGACCCTCCAGCAACCACCGCGCCCAAGACAAAAACATTTTACATTGCTTCATTTTTATTCATTTATTGATATTAGTGATGAATATATATGTATATCTTCGTTGAAAATTTATACAAAAAGCCATCAAAATGGATCAATTTGTATCAAAACATACACGAAGGTGTGATACTTTGAGCAAAACTCGAACGAAAATCGGCTGGTCCCTATGTAAACCCTGTGAAAATCTATCGAGTAAACGTCTTGTTAAACCCCATTGTTAAACCCTTGTTAAAGTACTAGATCGTATTTTGAACCGTACAACAGTCGTACGTATTTGTATGCAAATTGAGTTTAAACCTTGCTTGACCGAGTATATCCGTGCTTAAGCCGTAAATACTCGTGCTTCATGCGAGTCTTACTCGTACTAACTAATCATCAAGCACGGTTGGAGCTCAATACTTGTACCAGTTAACCCTTGAATAACCAAGTATACCGCATGGGAATCGGGTACCCAACCGTGTTCTGTGTGAGACGGGCTTAAACGAATTTCTGAAGTACCTGAAAGTAATTGCCACTATCATTATGCGCTGATATACCACCAGTATTAAAGTTATCGACGATGGCATTATCACTCATGTATGACGTGTTCAACTGCACGACGTTCACGGGACAATTTTGTATCTTGGGTGCATCCGGCTTTGCTGAAAATAATAAGGCATAATGACAAACTTATTCATACTCTGAGATTACTCAGTTTTATCATTAATAGTAACATTTTGTTTTATTTTGTATTGATATCATATACTGTTTTGTTTTTTTCTTTATTTTTTTGGGGGGTGGGTGGGGTGCTTTTCCATCGTACCAACATAATTTAGGTCATATAGCAACTTTCCCGCTTCACTGGTGGAGGAAGACCTCATGTGCCTTTCTGTACATTATTTAAGACACAAAAGGGCACCTGAATAGTACCACCAACGTTCGTTAACCAGCTGGATAGCTTCACACAAAGACCAAAGACGCTGGCGCGGCTCGAACCTACAGCGGTGAGAGCAAAGTAGTTTGAAGTCAACGCCCCACAAGTAATTGTTTAATACATGTATATACATCTATTACGTCATAATAAGCTGAATGTGAATGTCTAGAATAAAGTTGATGTTTTTTCTTCTGTTAATGGGAAAAGTAAAGAAGAGATATGCAATGTTGATCAAGTAAAATACAAGTAGTTTCATATAAAATATCATTGAAATAATTATATTATCCAAAACATTTAGCATAATGTGTGAATAAATTTTTTGCTGCTCGATTACATATCAAAACGATTCGGATAAAGAAATAATAGAAAATTAGGCAAACAAATTTCAAATTAAAACATGGATTAGTATTTAAACTCAGAAACGAATAAACTTTAGAAAGGGCAAATAAGAATGCTTTAATGTTTAAACAATGGTTTTAGGTACTTGTAACCTGTAAACATGAAACAATTAGTAAACAAAGTAGTGATTTAACTTTCATACAAATACTTAATCACTGTAACTGTCAACAACAGAAGAAAGATATATTTCAGATAATTGGCAAAAAAAAAACTTTTGGGGGAAATGTAAAAGTACATAAAAAGAAGCTTTTGAAAAATAGAAATAAATATCTCTGTGACATAATGGGCCTTGAAATGAAAAATGATTGTACCCTTGTCTACAATGATTTCAAATCTGCAATATGCTTCATTCCGGTCATAATCTTTCACAAGGTACTCTACAGTGTGCCTTCCAACAGGGTATGATTTCCCTTTCTCCATATTGACATAATTCTGTGCAATCCCTACATTATCTACAAACACTGGATCTTTCCACGTGACCACGTCTCCTTCTAAGACATAGATATCGCTAGGACAAAACAAGATTTTCGGCCGGATAATATCTAAAAAAAAGATATAAAAGAAGAAAGCAACAACAAAGCAATGCAAGTAGATGTTAAATCAAATTAGTATTTACTGATTATATATTAAACACATTATAACACTTTGATTCCTAGTAGAAAGTTATAAAATATTCAAGCATATATGTTTTATACATCAATTTTGTTACTGCGGGATAGTTTTCAGTATTGTTTTGAACCCATATCAAAGTTGTCTTAGTTCTGTCGTTATAAAGTAAATTAAGTCCAAACAACATTTTTCAAGTCAAATAAAACAGATAAAATTTTTGTCAAAGATAACAAATTTCATTGTCACATCCGTGTTATTTGTGCCGTGTGGCGGCTGTAAAAAGTCTCCCCGTACATTTAATCAATGACGTTATATTTCCGATCCTTGAAGATCGTTCAGCACAACACTTTTTTTGTGTAAACATAATATATGGAACCTTAAGTTTCTTTTTTTTGGCCATTTTCAACTGATTCCAGTATTCCTACTTGAATACTGTATAATCACCCTTAGGATATGTTGCCTGCTTTTTCAATTTGTCTTTTGACGTCTTATCTGTGGTATGCAGGCTTTATAACCTCGGATCCCCTTTCAAAATTCCATTTTATTTAGTTCCGCCCATTGTTTTCTCGTTTAGGGCAAAAGCATTATTTACTGGGGACCATACGCCGTTATTCATGGAATGGTCCTACTGTATGAACGTATGTACGTATGAACACATCTGCGGATGTTTCTAAATTTAAAATTCCACCATTTTCGTGTTAAATGTTGAATTCTGCTTAAGCCGGTGCTAGGGGCGTGGACGGTACCTTGCACTTTCCAGTACCGACCATGAACAGGCTCAATCAAACCGAGCCTGCAACATTTTCAATTTTATTGTGTTTGACTTTCTTTAGGGATTCTGTTTTACTCTACTTCATGAAACCAAAGGACTTACTTTGTATTTCACACATAACCAATTATTTCATAGTGTCAAATATACATCTATTTGAGAGTTGATATATTCTTTTGAGAACACAAATGTTATTATCTTGATAATAATAGTCCGACACTTCATATCAATTTACTTCTTGTAACATCAAAAGAAATAGAAATTTACATTTCAACATATTTTTGTTGTTTATATAGCAATGCATTTAGTATAACATTGATATTTCTTAAGAAAGCGTGGTTATTTTTACAGATGGCATATGCGACAACCTTGGAAACTGCCCATTTAGAAAAACAATAACACGTCAACATATATTTGATTTCTATTTTTGAATTCACCATACAATTTTGTTTTATATGTAAAAAATGTAGAAAATTCAATGAAAGAAATTTTCCGATACCTTAAATTATTTATAGAATTCATGTTTATTTTTCTCATTTTTTGTTCCGTTAAGAAGCATGAAAAACACATTTTTTTAAAGAAATATTTTCAGTTTATCGTTTGTTTCATACAGAACCCTTAGATAAAGCAAGTTTTGTATATCATCATGCTTTTTGTGTGTGTATCAAGCTGTCTTTCTGTAACACAGTTTGGTTATTTTGACAGTTTTGAGATATACGGTTAACATAGAAACTGCTATTTTACAAGAAATCTAACCCGTCAACATATATTTTTCTTTTTCTTTTTTAATTTGTCATTAAATTTTACACAACATACAAAAAAAAGTTAATCCTATGAAAGAAATTTGTCGATATCTTTACAAAAATTTACAAAATTCATCTTTATTTTTCTAGTTTTTTGATCAGATAAAAAGCATGAAAAATCTTTTTTTAATGAAATTGTTCACATTATTTTTTGTTTTATACAGAATCTTTGGATTAGATTATCTGTGCATAAAATTATGCATGTTGTGTGTATGTAGATGTCATATACATGTTCTTTTTTTATAACTAATAAGTTGGCTATTTTGACAGTTTTGAGATAACTGTTTCCATGGAAACTGCCATTTTACAAGAAATTCAACACGTCAACATTTAGTTTTCTTTTTATTTTTGAATTCGCCATTAAATGTTACTTATCATACAAAAAAAATTTAGAAAATTTTATGACAGGATTAAAGTTTCATAAAACTGTAGAAAATGCCTTTAAAGGACATCTGTAAGCAAATTTTGAACAAAATTTACCATGTGGGTTACGATTTACGGAGACACTTAGATAATTGTAGACCTACCTCGTACAGTTACTGTAAAGTTACAACTCGCAACCTTCCCATATTCATCTACAGCCATTGCAGAAACATTAAAAATAACTTTATGAGAGTCCGAACATTTACAATGTTCTATCGTTTGCGGTTGATACCACACCTGAGAAAAAAAGTAAAGTCTATGCCAGAGCAATAAAACCAATGGCGGAACAGTTAAAATTTCTATCATCGATTGACGATCTAAACAGGCTATTCTTTAAATTGTAAAAATATTTCAATATGAAATAATAATAAGTCTTAAATTCATAACAATGAATCCTTAATAATTTTTCAAAGAAATGCGCCATATTTGTGCATCATATCAGGGAAAAAATCCATTTTTCTTCTAAACTACAGACTGTCGCAACAATTAGGATATTGTATTTCTTTGTAATTAAAAAGTTATTTTTTTAACATTAACTTTTATACATGTTGTTGACGCAGCAGAGTGAAATAATATTCAAAATTAAGAATCACTACGCTACAAGTAACTTGTTGTTGTCAAAGTCATAAGCTTCTAGTCCTATTGCACTTTGTTTAATGACGGCGACGTCAGTGTAAACTGACGTATTCAAACGTATGGCCTCAGCTGGACAATTGTTCATCTTCGGCAGGCCTGAAAAGATAGTTTTGTATGATGAAACATTGCTCAAGATACATACAGAACCTGAGTTCTTGTCAGTTCTTGCTTTTATACAAGTATCAAACATTACATATTTCAATATACTAAATGTATGTACACATGGGCGATAGAAATTGGTACATTTACAAATTCAAATACATTGTACATGTATTTGCACTGCACATATCTTCAAAAAGCGTCTTTGTTAACAATTCCTTGCTCAATCGAGATTGTTAGCAACTGAAACCCCTCGGCTGTTCATCATAAACGAAAGACGAAAGGGGCCGAGCAAAACTTGTAATTACGCTGGACACTAAAATCTGCTTTAGCCTAGGCTAGATGGGATATGAAAAAGTGTAACTATTTGGAACTCATAGTCATGAACATGGTGCCTATTATATACCACGTGACATTTTGTGATCTGCGTAGGACAGAAAAACAATGCAAAAGACGGTCCAAACTTAATATTCTGCCCTAACTTTTTCAAATATTTCAATATTTTGTATAGGATAAGTTACATGCCAATCATATTAATAAAGTTTATATTTTTTTCTTTTGTAACGTTTACCGATAAATATCCTTATTTTACCCCTATATCACTATGTTGTGTTCTACTGGTTTTGTTCCCTTTATCTGATAAAAAAAATTTAAATTTTTTAAAAAATTTAGAGGAAAATAAATTTTCCCTTATTGTATTGGTTTTTTTTAAAAAATTTTAGTGGTATATGCAGGGTGATAAAAGGAGGCATAAAGCTGATCTGTTTTTTTTCATTCTCATTTCTTAAAGGGTTTTTTCATTTATTCAATTTTTAGTTAAACTTTTTTTTTTATCCCTTTTTCCTAGATGTGAATTTACACAGCAGTGTTCCCCGAAAAGTCCAACTGTAAGTCATTTTTATGAGCCCCAAAGTTTTATAATTGACAGGTCTAATCTGGGTCTAGAATTTTTCCCAATCCCAAACTTTAATCTTAATGAAGGTTATTCCACGAACTGGGTTTTTTTTTGACATAGATATCCTTCGAACAGTTAAATCGCGGGGGGTATGGATCTAAAATATGATGTTAAGGATTATTATTTTTATAAGCTTATTAAAAGGTTATTTTCAAGAAACAATGGCGAAGGTTAAGACAAAAATGGGTAAACATAATCCGCTATTTATTCGTACAATAAACTTTGCCAAATGACTCGAACCGAAGTAAGCTTAATGAAATAAAGGTTTAATAATATATTGTTTTAAATGATCTGTCCTTTGTATAAATTGAATAATTTTTAGAAAAAAAGAAGACAAATAACTGTTTTTTGCTATTAACCTAATTGAGTTTCGTGATTAACGTGTTAATCTTTTTCTTTCTAGTCCTTCAATTAAGAATTATTGTATATTACTGAGTTGATGGGCATTAAATGAAGCAGGTGACAATCTTAGTATAAGGTCTGGCAACACTACCACGGTGAACAAGCGGGAATGGTGGCATAAGGCTGGTCTCCTGTTTACGTTCCTGCTATATTGTAAGTTCGAGGAAATTTATTCCTGACTATGATAAAAAGTCTGTTTTTCGCATACTTTTGAAATTTAGTTTTTTGCATGGAACTAACTTAAAATATGGAAAAAAGGAAGTAATAAAAATAGGTTTAATCTAGGTTGCCAATTCTCCCTCAGGATTTCCCCCATTCTTCTGACAAAGGGAATAACCCTGCGAGAGTTTGTTTGTGGCACTACTATCTTTATTCCTTTGTTCAAAACACTACTTTAACGAAATATTGAATGAGCGGGATGCTATGCCCCAGGTTTTCTGGTAAAAGTAGGACTTTAGTTTGGCTTAGGGTCATAAACCCTGACGGGTAACTTTCTTTTTTTACTTACCTGAAAGGTTTTACTTTTATTCCCCCCTATTTTAAACCCCGAATTAGCCCATCTCTGTTTAATTATGTGTGTGTATATATATGATTATGTTTTAATGTGAGCCTATAGTGACAGTAAATCTAAACAAAAGAATGTTATACATACAACATATAGACAAAAAAACCTTTAAAATGTGTTAATTTTTATTGAATATTGTTGTTTTTGTTGCTTTTTTGTTGTTGTTTTTTCGGGGGGGGGGGTTCTTTTTTTATTTTTGTTTGTTTCTGCATTAAAAATACATTAAACGGAAGGATTATCTACAATGAGATATATTTTGAATATAAATAGATTAAGTATTTACGAACAAATATATTACGAAAGGCTTATTCGTATAGTAAAATTTCTTTGGAAAACAAACATTTCAATAAGATATTTGCTGTGCCACCATCACCATAGACCATAATATGAAAAATCTACCTTTAGTTTATTTCCGTCGGAATCATACGCTTTTATTGTGGTTATACTTTTACTCAGAATTGCAGATTCGCTGGCGATCGCGACATTAACGCTTAAAACATATGTCGGACAGTTACTGATTGTTGGTAAATCCACTTTGTCTGTCATCGATAAAAGAGAGGGTAAACAAATAACATTTTAAAGTGTCATTTAAAGTCAATAATTTACAATCGTAAAAGAATAATACAAAATTTCAAGTTATATATCTATGTTGCTGGCAGACAATGCCAGACATTAGCACACGAAATCAAATTAAAAAAGAATATACGTATTATTTTTTCTCTGATAAATTACTATTTCTTTTCTGACAATTTCTGATTAAGTGACTGAATAATTACTATTGCTGATCGTCTGATACCCCCTTTAACCCTACAAGACTACAAGACAAACTTTTTCTCATCACTTTGTACATAACTATTTCTCATCATTTGATTCATTACAAAGTCTCATCACCCGACACATAACTATTTCTCATCATTTCATTTATGACTATTTCTCGTCACCTGACACATTACTATTTCTCATCATTTGATTTACGACTATTTCATATCACCCGACACATTACTTTTTCAAATAATCTCATTCCTTACAGTGTCTTATCTCCCGACACATTACTATTTCTCATCATTTGATTCATTACAATGTCTCATCACCCGACACATTACTATTTCTCATCATTTGATTCAGTACAATGTCTCATCACCCGACACATTACTATTTCTCATCATTTGATTCATTACAATGTCTCATCACCCGACACATTACTATTTCTCATCATTTGATTCATTACAAGTCTCATCACCCGACACATTACTATTTCTCATCATTTGATTCATTACAAGTCTCATCACCCGACACATTACTATTAATCATCATTTGATTCAGTACAATGTCTCATCACCCGACAGAGTACTATTAATCATCATTTAATTCATTACAATGTCTCATCACCCGACACATTACTATTTCTCATCATTTGATTCATTACAATGTCTCATCACCCGACACATTACTATTTCTCATCATTTGATTCATTACAATGTCTCATCACCCGACACATTACTATTAATCATCATTTGATTCATTACAATGTCTCATCACCCGACACATTACTATTAATCATCATTTGATTCATTACAATGTCTCATCACCCGACACATTACTATTTCTCATCATTTGATTCATTACAATGTGTCATCGCCTGATGCATTATCATTTCTCACCATTTGATTTATGACTTTTTTTCATAAGCTGAAAAAGTACTTTTTCTAATCACTTGATGCCTTACTTTTTCTCATAACATATAGAATATTTTTGTTTGTTTTGCATGAAAGATTGAAATGTATTTCTCTGAGTGCAAATTTTCACGGATGGCGTAGCCAGGAGTGAAAAAAGAATAGCTGGTAGATATTCACGATTGAAATATATTTCAATCTTATACGTTAAACAAAAAATTTGTTCATGCTATTTAAGTGATTTTAAGTATTTTAATGAGTTTTCGGCGCAACGTATGACGGCATTTATTTGTTCCTATCATTCCATTTAGTTATGATATCCCTTTCATTCGCATTCATATATAAACTCTAGTCCGGCTGCAGTGAAAATAATATTATATAAATTTCACTAGTGGTTCATCAGAATATAATCATCTGATACACTACAGTAAAATAATGGAAAGCATGAAATAAAACACATTATCATTTCTCATGACTTGACACAGTATTTTTTCTCACCACTTGATTAATGACTATTTCTCATCAACTGATAAATTTCTTTTCTAATCACTTGACACCTCCTTTTTCTTATATCCTTACACATCATTTTTCATCACTTGGCACATTACTTGATCCATTACTTTTGATCGTTACATGATGATCCATTACCTTTTCTGATCAAATGAGATATTACTATTTTCTTCACTTGATGTATTACTTTTTCTGATTATCTGAAACATTACTATTTTTTATCACCTCACTGAATATAAGTATTTCTCATCTTCTGGTACATTACTTTTTTTTATACATTTTTATTTGTAAAACTTACCTGGACAAGATGGACAGCAATATCCAGGCAATGTTTCCGGTTCACCTACCAGACATCGTGGAATAGCGCATGATATTGTATAGCATACCATTTCAGCGTTTGCATTGCATGTACACTTCTGAAATGTATAAATGTACCTATCGAAAAAACTGTTTATGTATCATCATTATGAATTTGATTTTATTTAAAGAAAGCCATGCGTGGAAAACAGACTATTTTCAATTTTCGCAAGAGAGTAATATTAAAATTTAAGCATGAGGAGGAATGTTTCGAGACAGTAGTATTAATATGTAAATTATTCCTTGAGTTATTCCCTATTTTGTCAAATGAGTTTTTATGATAACTCTGAAGATGTCCTATAGTTCTTATGATATCTTTAGTTACTGCTAATGTGCTTTGTCGGACCGTAGATGTCACGAACGTATATGTCACACGCTCATTTGGACGAATTAATTAATGTTGATTCAATTAAGTTTTAAAGTTTAGCCCTGGCCCGCCATCCCGCACAGTTCACACTGCTAGCCCGCTACACTGTCAGCCCGCCCCTTTTCCACTGAAAAGGAAATGTAAAAATGGTTTGAAAAGTTGATTCAATTAAGTATTTTTAAATTTTTCCCAGCTGGCCCCCCATCCCGGCTCAGTTTTTCAAAACCTGTTCCCGCCTTTTTAAATGAAACCCCCGGCCCCAAATCCCCCCATCAGGAATGTTTTGGGCTGTTACCAAAGGGGTTTTTTAAATTTTTGATATTTTAATACCCCCCCAAATTTTAATTAAAAGTTTCTATTTAAATTTTTCAATTTAAAATTTGGCCCGCTCCCCAGCCATCCATTTAACGGGGTGCCCCCTTTCACTGTTAGCCCGCCCACTTCACACTTACAGCTAATGTATCATAACGTGTTCATATTGAATCAGTTACGGTTTACAGTTGATCACGCTGGCCCACTTACCCGCCCAATTTACACTGCTATCCCGCTACACTGTCAAGCCGCCCACTTCACACTGCTAGGAAATGTATTTTGAGGTTTTAATATGGATTAAATTAAGTATTAAAGTTAATCCCGCTTATTCATACTGTTAGCCCTCTAAACTTTTATCCCGCCCACTTCACACTGCTAGAAAATGTTTCATAACGTTGATTCAATTAAGTATTAAAGTTTAACCGGCTGGCCCGCCATCCCGCTCTGTTCACAATGCTAGACCGCTACACTCTTAGCCGGCCCACATCACACTGCTAGGAAATGTATTATGGGGTTTTAATGTGGATTCAGTTAAGTATTAAAGTTTTTCCCGCTGTCCCGCCAGCCCGCCCAATTCAAAATGCCTAATCGCTACACTGCTATCCCGCCCAATTCACACCGCAAGGAAATGTTTCATAACGTTTTCATGTTGATTCAATTACGTATTAATGTTTAACCCGCTGGCCCGCTCAGTTCAGACTTCTAGCCGGCTGCACTCTTAGCCCGCCCACTTCATACCGATAGTAAATGTTTCATAACGTTTCATGTTCATTCAATTAAGTATTAATTTAAAAGTTAATCCCACTGGTCCGCCAGCCCGCCCAGTTCACACTGCTAGCCCCCTAAACTGTTTGCTCGCCCTGTTCACACTACAAGGAAATGTTTTTATAACGTTTTCATGTTGATTCAATAAAGTATTTAAGTTTACCCCACTGGCCCGCCAGCCCGCCAAGTTCACACTGCTATCCCGCTTAACTTTTAGCCCGCCCACTTCAGACTGCTAGGAAATGTTTCATGAGGTTTTAATGTTGATTCAATTAAGTATTAAAGTTTAACCCGCCAGCCCGCCCAGTTCACACTGCTAGCCCGCTACACTGTTAGACCGCCCACTTCACACTGCCAGGTTATGTATCATAAGTTTTTATGTTTTAGGCCTGTTAGGGTTTTAGATTAAGTCCGCCGGGCCCCAAGCCGCCCCGTTACACTCTAGACCGCAAAAGCTAGCACGCCCAGTTTTAGAATTTTTTCCCGTGAATGTAGTCGCCCCGTTTAATGTTACCCGCTGACTGTACCCATTACCCGCCTACTTCTGGGCCTCGGTCAATGATTTTTGCGTAATAAAAGCATGTTATAACGCATTTTATTATCCAATAAGTAAGCGTGTAAATCACTATGAAACGCAATGCACAAGAATTTGTTATATAATGATGGTTGTCAGCGTATTTTAGTTCAAAAGATATTTTTTTATTAAATTTATGTGAATTCATGTTTAAAAAAAAAACCGTATAGTCCGTTTTCATCGTCTCTTGTTTTTAAAATCTGATAGTTTTGAGTAAAAATTTCAAATTACTTGCTCATTGGTACATACAGACCTTTTCATTTGTTATCTTCTTCGTTGCCATACTTAATTACCAAATTGTAATGAAAAGTTACAAACGTAAAGCCCAGGCTAAACTATATACTTAAAGAGTTTTAGAGTTATAGTTCTTATGATAACTTTTGTACTGCCAGTGTTTTTCTTGTGCTAAATTACGGCACGTTGTAGCGTATTTTATAAGTCAAATAGTGTGTAAATCATTATGAAGCGTTTTTGCACAACAATTTTGTTAGGTAATATTGGTTTATTCAACAAATGTTTTTCTTACCTCCCTTTCTTGTGTTTTTTTTTCATTTTATAGAACTTGTTTTGCTCACGGTCTGAAAAAGCTTGATGTAGAGCATTGACTTACAGGATGAATACGCTTTGAATTCTATACTCAAGCATGTGAGATGTCTTCATTATTTCAGGCAGTTTTAGAGAACGTTAAGTAACTATATACTTGTATATGTTATCGGTCTGCCGAAACAAATTACAAATGTACATGTAAATGGTTTGCGTAGTATGCACTACCTTTATCTAAATTTAATGAGGTGGGGCCATCTTCATGTATTCAACGGATAATTTGATTTCTAAATGTATCAAATTTTGCCATAGAGACTTAGAACATTCTATAACAACGATATGACAATACAAAACAAGTCTTTGATAATAGATGCGAGTCGCCATATGGTTCATGCAGATGATCTCCCTTGTTCCTTTTTTTAAAATTCACTTTAGCATCACGTGACGTACAAAAATCTCCATATGGCGGAAGGTTGTTGCATACATTTTTCTTATCAAAGTTGGATTCCATATCTTTAGAATTAGTCTACTTTAAACTGAATGAGCATGTTTTGCTTTAAACTACTTTACCAGTCAGATGTAAATAATAATATCATTTAATATATGTTGTCATTTTTTTACAGTAAAAACTAAATTCTTCTGTCAATGTTTGATTGATATTCCCCTTATATAGTCTGAATTGTGGAAACTCTGCTACTTTTGTAGCAATTGATTTAAACAAATACATAGTCGAACTTCTTTCGCTAGAACCCGTAGGGCACATGCAAATTTGTTAAAGGATCGATAGTTAAAGCCAAATGCGGTTGATTTTTTTCATATATAAAAATATTATATATTTCGGGTGATTTGGTGTGAAGGTTATCCTGGTTATTTCTTGCATACCAGACAGGATTATCTACCGTTTACACCGGAGCTAGAAAAAACTGTCTTACTACTGTTTGTTTGTTTTATTTTACGACTTTTCCCAGCAGTATTTCAGTCAAAAATGCGGGTAGTTTCCTAACCATCATTCCTGGAGAGTTACACCAGTACTAGACTACCTTTCTCCGCGCTAAACTACCAAATCATCTCCCGAGGATCGAACCCACACCAGAGAGGTAACTAAATTAGAAGTCATCGACTCCTTCCCCCGCGACCACGGAGGCCGGTCCCATATAAGACAAGTCGCGTGTTTTAAATGACGTCATTGTCTCGCATGTTTTGTGAATAAATTGCGTAGGATAAAAAGGATGACGTAAATTTATCATTACGAATGAAGTTGTAAGTTCTTGCTCTGCTATAAGAAATAAGTGCGTAATGAGAAATTTCAGAACTGTTCATGGAAATAATAGATATGTAATATGCAAGAAAAATAATCAAACACCGGTTGTCGATGCAGACGGGAATATCTAGCTCTCTGATAACTGTTTAGCGGAAACACTATATTTCTATCTTCACAACAACAATGTACAAACTGTAGTAAAATTTGAACGGAAACTTAAATCATAAAACTATAATTGACGAGCAGTATATACAGAAACAACATTTAGTGCATTTGTTCGGTTTTATAATGTTCATATAAATTTGCATAAATTTAATTAGAAAAATATCTTTTGAACTAAAATACGCTCACAACAAACATTATTTAACAAGTTTTTGTGCTAAGGATGAGCGAATTGCGTTTCATACTGATTTACACCCTTATTGAATAATAATATGCGCTTTATACGTGCCGTAACTGAGAGCAAGAAGCACATCGGCAGAAAAAAGTTATCATAAGAACTTTTAGTCATCTTCAGAGTTATCACAAGAACTGATTTAAAAAATACGGACTAAATTTGTTATTAGAGGCTTTGTGTTTGCAACTTGTCCTTATGATTAAGTAAGTACGACAACGACGGGATCACACATGGCCAGATCTATGCGTACGTAAGTAATTTGGAACTTTTACTCAAAAATACCAGATTTTAACAAGAGCGATAAACAATGGACTAACAAGTTTTTTTCTGACACATAATAAAATATGTAAAGCAAGCTCAATCATCAAAGTATATTTAAACATTGCATTGTAAAGATGAAAATTACCATTTTTTCACGAAAGTTTCTTCGGTATATAAAAGTTTTCCGACGAAATCCGTAACGTTTAACAGGAACTTCATAACAGTAATTATAATAACTCCCGACAGGTTTTCATGGACTAACAGGAATCTTATATTTTATTTATCACATACCAAAGATTTAGATCGTTTGGAGATAAAAAGAACCACTTTTTGTTGGTGCGCCTATAGCATAACGCTGAAATTGAGCGCGTTTTCATGTTATGATTATATTATCAAAATGACATCACGTCAAAATATATTCATTGCCATACACGCGCAATACAATTTTTAAGGACTCGCAAAAGCGGCATGGGTATTGATAATTTAAGTTA